AAACAAATTCTTTCAATTTATTGTATGAAGGTGTGTATAACCTATTTAATACATTATTCTAAATAAATAAATACAAAGTTTCTTTCAATTTGTTGTATGAAGGTGAACACAAACTAATTAATTAAAAGGCTATTTAATACATATTTTTAAATAAATAAGTAAAGAGTTTCCTTCAATTTGTTGTATGAAGGTGTATAGTGCAACCTAATTAATTCAAAAGCTATTTAATACATTATTTTAAATAAATAAATAAAAAAATTCTTTCAATTTGCTGTATGAAGGTATATAGTACAACCTAATTAATTTAAAAGCTATTGAATACATTATTCTTAATAAATAAGTAAAGAGTTTCCTTCAATTTGTTGTATGAAGGTTGTATGAAGTATTGTATAGTGCAACCTAATTAATTCAAAATCTATTTAATACATTATTTTCAAGAAATAAATAAAAAATTTCTTTCAATTTGTTGTATGAAGGAGTACAGTTGCAACATATTTTTAAAATTGTATAAAGTATTGTCAAAACGTTCTAATCAAATACTCCCCACAAATCAAAAATTGAATTCACAATTATAATTGGAAATAGCAGAAATAATTTTCGGATTAAATACTCTAAAGTAAGAACTATCAAAACGACTATAAGATAATATGATAGATATGAGATAATATGATTTATTATGCATAAAACTAAAACCAATGATAGGAAAATAGTTATTATTTTTAAAAAAAGGTAGAAGTTAAAAACCTATAACTTTCTGGCACTTAAGTAAATTTTACTTCCTTTTAAATTTGACTTATTCTTAGAATACTTATCGTTAAATAATTGTTTTGGTCATTTTTATTATTTCCCTCTTCAATCCAGTTTTTTTCTGTGTCCTGAAGAAATCGGTCTCTTCCTTCAGAAATCGAACCCCATCAAAAAATTTTGAATTGTAAGGTATGCAACTTTTTACGTCATTTTTAACGTATGTAATTTTACATGGCAAAATTCGAGCGAAATCGGTTGAACTGCTTTTTAAAAATCGATTTTCAAATTTGCGAATTCTTTAAAATTCTATTTTTCAGGAAAAATTCAACAGATTTCGCTCAAATTTTGTATTTTCCGACGTAAAATTACATACTTTAAAATGATGTAAAATATTTTATACCTTAAAATTCAAAATTTTTTGGATTATTATTTAATAAAATAATGAAAAATCATAAATATTTTCTAAAATGTATTTTTTGCATCGAATTATCTTTCGATAGACGAATTTTATAATTGTATGCAAAAAATTTTCAATTCGTTAAAAAGTTCTCGAGATATGACGACGCATGCAAAAGGTAACATTATAACATTAAGGGGCCTTCAATAAGAAATAACTTTGTTTAAATATATGTGACATAAAGAAAGCTTATTATGTTATTACTATGTTATCAAATTTTGACCTACTCTCCTGATCAAACTAAGGGGACAATGTTTTCCAAGTTATGGTACTCCTTATATTTTTGGGATCAGAAATCGGAATTCATTAAAAAAAAAGGCATGTTAATTCTGAGAAAGTATGTTTTTGTGTTTGATTTTGTGACTTAAAATATAATCGGCACTAATTAGTTAGCATATTTGAGGGCACCCTTTCGATCAATTAAGCTTGAGTACAAAAACCTGAAGATCCGATCATTAGATCAAAAGTTATTCAGAGTGGTCTGTTTTTTTGGAGAATTGTATGTTTTTTTTTCTGTTAAAGACCCATGTAAATCTCTAACGTGAAAGAAATAAGCAAAAGAAATCTCTTAAAATTTATTGCGTGGTATGTATATCAAAAACTAATAAGGAATTAGTTTCGTTTAATAATTAACGAAACCGACAGGATTATCTCGCTCCTGAAATAGGACAATTTTTTAAAAACTTTTTTAAAGAGATTTAAATGAGTTATTCAGTTATTATATTATTAAATATATTTAATTGTAATACTTATAAATTTCCAATTATTTAAATTTTGGTGAACAGTATAAAAACAACATCCCATCCATGACAAAGAGGTTGTGGAGTTTAAGGCTCATCCATTTCGAAGTTGCGGTAGCAACATAGTCAGTATTGTGCACCGACCGTCTTTATTTCATTTAAAAGCTGGTACCCATCAATCTAAATCTAGCTAGTCCTTAAGCTGACAGAGATCGAATCTCGTTATTTTACAATGAAAACTCAGCGCCTCAACCACTCAGTCATAAAGTTGAATGAAGTGGGGTTAAATAATGAAATTATTTGTCTTTACTTTATTTTGAAGTAGGGATTACTCAATTTTATTTTGAAAAAGGGAACATCATAATGTCAGTTTGAGAACCAATCCCCTTTATTAATTATTTTTAAAAATATTAGAGCAATAGAAGAGGTAGAGCCAATAGCACAGAGTTTAGTTTTTTTTATCGTTCTATATTTATACCAAATGCAAAAATGTAGATAATGTTATAATATAGAACCGCTGAACTATAAATTAATAATAATAATAATAATAATAATAATAATAATAATAATAATAAACCTTTAAAATTTAATGTTACTCTCATAAATATATTTTTATGAAGATGTCTCATCTGTGCCAACTCAACTCGTTTGTGGCGTAAGTATGCGAAAATCAATCCTGAATTATTGTTACTGAAGAATATTTAAACATAAAAAGCACAAAAAAAACTATACAGAATGGATAAGACTGGTGGCTCATGTGATAGAGCTTTCGCCTTCCAATGAGGTGACCTGGGTTCGATCCTAACGATAGCTGGTCGATAACAATTCCGCACCCGGCTCGCACCGACCACAGATGTTGACGTAAAATATTCTCAGTGATAGACGGATCATGGGTTTGAGTCCCCTTGCCGTTAGGCAAACCGAGGGAGAATTTCGTGGTTTTCCTTTCCATGTAAGGTAAATGAGGTTCCATGAAAAAGTACTGCACGGAGGAAAATTTTTCCCGAATCTTGATAGAGGAGTTTCCTTGTCTTCTGGTTTGGGTTCGAAACTAAAAAATTACAAGGCTACGGAGTTGAACATTGGTAGTCGCAAACCCAAAAAATTGGTTCAGCTGTCTAACGACGGTTTAAAAATAAAATTAAAATAAAAAAAATGAATAAGTTTTGCTGTTAATTATTTCTAATATAGCTCTTCTTCTAAATAAAATTTTTTTTGGATCGTTTTAATTATCTTTTGTGATGAACAGTCACGATAAAACTTAACTCTTGAACTTTCTGAAAAGTGGGTTCATCAATTCAATTCTTACTAAAATTAGATTCAGAAAGCGCATGTTTATAATTTTAGCAACATTTGCTTTTTAAAAAACAAACTTTTTAAGCCGAGTTTAAAAAAGCTTCTTCTCCTTGCATATTGATCGGAGTAATTTATCAAAAAAAAATTTTTTTTATTGAAATTATGGACACTTTTTTTTTGTAAATACTCTTTTCGTACTAAAACCTTAAGTTTAAGCAAATGCAATAATGTAGTAAGCTTTTTTTATATCAAACATATTTAAACTTGAAAATGATTGCTTATTAAGTAAGTAATCGCCATACTCCTTAAATATATACTTGTGGTTCAGAAACGGAACACTTTTTACTTTTAAACTTTAACTATATGCTTTAAGGAACTTTGTTATAATAACAACATTAAATTATTTAATTCACTAATTATAAATGTTACAGTCCTTGTTATCCGGTAGTCACCATTTATCACAATTTCATGGGCCCACTTTCTCGCCTCCAAGCATAACATATTTTATGGACAGCTCCAAAAACTACAGAATCACCAGCGAGGAAGGTGAGGCTGAAAAAATTAAAACCTGTTTGATTAATCCTCTCATGTATATGGACCTCATATGAGGACACTTACATTTTCACTTCCTTATGGTATTCAGACTAGCATTTGTAATGTAATTTGCATGTAGTCATTTGGTGACTCAAAACAGTTCTTAGAAATCGCACTAGGTGGCAGGCGTTTCATGATAAGTACGAGAATATGATCTCTTTGTAAGTCAATAGAGGAATCAAGAAAGAAGTAAAAATCCGAAATTTTGTTTATTTGTTTTAAAGAATATATTAAATCTTTGGGAAGTTTGGTATTTTTTGAATATTCAGTTTCTTTATGATTAAAATTATATGGATAAAATATACCATAAAAGTAAAGGCCTTCATTTGGAAAACAATTTCTCACTTTACCAGGACAAATTTTTCGAAAATAAATTATTACACTATAATTCTGAGATACTGAATGGGGTTATAGCTTAGCTAAATATTTTTTATGACTCAAATAAAAAATTTATGCATGGGGTGGTTGGTGGAGTTGAAATGTGAATTTCAAAACGCATCTCCAAGTTTTATCAGGCATTTAAACTGGTTTTGATGCTTTTCATCACACTAGTCATTCGATAGATATCGATAGAAATTTTGAATACTTATCCATTTCGCTGATAACGTAGCCAATTGAAAAACAATAAGTTCTACTAACCTTTCCTTTTCACTTTATTTATTTATTTATATTAAAATTAAAATAAATAAATAAAATAGCTGAATTTAGTTGCTCCAGAGAAATAGATAAGTACCAATTTTTTCTTCACCATTCAATTTTGATTTATTAAATAAACTTTCATGACTTTATTTATATTAAAATAAAAATAAATAAATAAATAAATAAAATAGCTGAATTTAGTTGCTCCAGCGAAATAGATAAGTACCAATTTATTTTCACCTTTCAATTTTGATTTAATAAATAAACTTTCATGACTTTATTTATATTAAAATAAATAAATAAATAAAATAGCTGAATTTAGTTGCTCCAGCGAAATAGATAAGTACCAATTTTTTTTTCACCTTTCAATTTTGATTTATTAAATAAACTTTTATGACTTTATTTCTGCTAAGGATTCTAAAAATGGAACATCTTCAATAAATCTTAAAATTATTTTATTAAAATTAATTTTGAGTAATGCTTTGTAGTCCATTTGGAACTGTTGAAACAAACTGAAGACAACAAAATCTTTCAAAATGCTTGCTTTATTTATCACAATAATATATATAATATATAACATATACAACAGTTTTATACTACAGAATGTACGTATATATACATAGGGGCTTCCAAGAAGTAATAGACTCGCGCACTTTAGAGATTGGGCACCAGCACCATTTGGCGATATATCGCCAACTGAGAAAGAAGCTTTGCGCTTCAGACACCGAAACCACGAAAGAACATAGGGCTGAGAGAAAAAAAGACCAGGACACGTTGATGATTAACATCAGTGGCGATCTTCGTCAAGAGGTACATTTAAAAAAAAAAGGAACAAAAAAAGTTGAAAGACGTAACAAATACTAGAGCTAAAGAGATAAGTTAGTAAAATAGTTCGAATCGCCCCGAAAGCTTACGAGAAAAAATAAAAAAAAAATTAAAAAAAAAAACATTCATTTGGCAAAGACTAGGATATGGCTGCAAAATATTAAAAAAAAAAGCCGTTAACAATAGAACAATAGCTCAATATCGAAAGAAAGAAAAATTAAGTACTGGCAGTGTCTGTTTGTAAGAAGAAAATGGCAGTATTCTACTGAAGTAGAACATATTTAAAAGAAAAATCTATTTAAAATATGTAAAAAAAATATTAACAAAATAGACAACAAAGAAAAAAGTAGTAGTTATAGACATGTGCGTTTCATAGTAACGAAACCTAAGTAACGGGTATTTTTTGAAAGTCACAGGTATAGATCCCAACGAAACCAACCACCGGTATTAGAACAGCATAGCAGACGATTTGTCCGCTGAAAATGGCTTAAGCACTTGATGAAAGAAAAATAAACAGTTCTTAGGCCTGTAGCGGAAGCTGGGAGTTCTTGTTAGTCCCTGGAACGTGGTCTTTCTGAGATCTTCACATAACCATAATGATATCCAGACCTTAACCATGATTGTGCAGCCATACTCTTATAGGAAGTTGGGAGGAGATAGAATTGATGGTCCGGTCCTGGTTAGCTTATTTCTTCTTGCCTTGGATGAGCTGTTGTGCCCTGGCAACATCTTCGTCCCTCAAGAATTGGGCATCTTCAATTCCGATGTTGTCGTTGACGTAGTAGAAATCTCTGGCGTTCTGGCATGGGACAGCGTCTTCAGGGAAGGCGCAGGTCAGCGTCAGTTGGTTGAAAACCGTCTGGTTTCCGCAGAAGAAACTGTAGTGGAGAGTTTCTTGGTTACCGTCAGCATGGACAATTGGGTGGCAGACATGGAAGATCTGGCAGTTGTTGTCCACGTCGGCGTAATAACCGTAACGGAGACCTTCGCAGTTGAAGTTGGTGTTGATGGGTCCTACAATGAGTTCAACGCCATCTGGTAAGAAGAAGGCTTGTCTTTTCATCTGAAACGAGAACAAAAAGTGACCGAAGTGCAAATTGTTATCAATTAGTCTCGAATTTAAACTGCTGCGCATAGTGAAGTTGAGATTAGAACTCCGAATATACCATGAGGTTCAAGTCTAAACACGTTTTTTTAAAAATATAATTTAGCATGATTACCCAACTACTGTACTCGGATTGTGATTGCAGTTCTGTGCCATGACATTGGAAGAACAGTGACATCTGAGTTATATTTTGCCATGCCGCAACTAAGCGATAGATGGTGTCCTAGTTAATTAATCTAGTGCACTCCATCTAGCTCTAGTACTCTCAATCTAGTTTTAGTACTCTCCTCGACCTTCAGAGTACTAAAGTTAGCATATACTCATTAGCTACGATCACAGGCTATGGAGACTTATGATTACAATTAATTATAATTGCCTCTAATCTTAATTACCGTAGAAATCTTGATAACATGTAAACCTGATTATAATTATTTATTTGCAATCAATTACATTCCTCCAAATTAATAGTTAATTAATAATTTGGGGCGAATTATAAAATCCTTATCTTGGCCTCTTGCAAGTTCTTTTAGAGCCTATTAGGAAACCAAAATATAGTTGTTGCTAGTGCCTAAAATGCAATGTAATTCGAGTCGTTATAGGCTAGATATTGAAAGGACCAATGCTAAACTAATGTTTTTCTTAGATAGGATCTATATAAAATTATCCAATTAACACGATATTTTAAAGCCATTACCTAACTAGTAGTGGGCCTATATTGATTTCTCTGATTCGGCCCATATTCTTCTGCCTAGATAGGACATATATATATAATTATCGAAAGTATCTAGGTCCATTGGTGGAAAATGTAGACATCCAAATCTTGGTTCTCGAATGCACATTTTTTTAGGATGTATGTTGAACCAATTTTGAGTTATGTGACAAAGATATAGCTAAGCCTATTCCATTGAGGACTTTTGTTCGAATGCTTTTATTAAATTGTCTCAGATTCCTGATCGACAGCGTAATCTGTCGTTGATGTTTAGCATAATCATTTTTAAGGATTTTAATAAACTTCAGGACAATGGCGTTTAAATCTGCTCTATTGAAGATTTCTAAAGAAGTCTTTCAGTGCATAAATTTTGTTTGACTTCGTTATTGAATCCCATGAGGGCTACAAGGAAAAAAACATGCAGCTCAATAAAGAAAACGAAAGTAACTCAATTATTTCGAATTTCTTTATTCAACTAGGACTCACGAAATGAGTATTATCAATATTCCTTCCGTATATCTTTTAGGATAATACTCGTGCATTATTTGTTAGTGATTTCATTAGGCTTAAGAACCGGTTTGTGAACGCAAACCCGGAAAATGATTTTCACGGAATCAACCTTGACAGATCAGGTGAGTTGTTAAAAACATTGTCACACATTCTTAAAAGTATTTTTATTAATTGCATACGACCTTTAGACCTTTCAACGAAGAAGAAACTCTTCAAGAATAATGATTATTTTATTTATTTTTGTTGATATCGACGCATTTCAATCGATTTATGAGTTACGGTGAAGATGTATTTTAGGTTTTGTCGTGACAGTAGGATTTCCGTGTTTATAGCCAAATCGTAGCGAGAAAATAAGTTTGAAATGATAATTACTTTGTTCTATTCTTCTTTAATAATTTCCTTATTTTCCAATCTCTCCAACAGACAAAATGATTTTTGTTTAAAATTGTATTCATTAACTAAACTTAAAATTCAGATTAAAATTAATCTAAGGCTTATACATTTACCGTTATTCAAGTTCCCGCTTCTGATTGATATTTATGAAATTAAAAGTGGAAATTTATATAGCTGTCAAAATTCTGTATGAAATTCCTCTCTGATTGATTATTCCTGAATCTAAAGTAAAAATTTATATAGCTGTCGCAACTCTGTATTAAATTCTGCTTCTGAATTACTATACATGAATCTAAAGTAAAAATTTATATAGCTGTCGCAACTCTGTATTAAATTCTGCTTCTGAATTACTATTCATGAATCTAAAGTAAAAATTTATATAGCTGTCGCAACTCGGTATTAAATTCTACTTCTGAATGAACTATTCATGAATCCAAAGTTAAAATTTATATAGCTGTCGAAATTCTGTATTAAGTTCCCGCCTTTGGTTGATTATTCATAAGAATAAATGAAAGACTTAGATAGCTGTCGAAATTCTGTATTAAATTCCCACTTTTGGTTGATTATTCATAAGAACAAATGAAATTATAGATTATTCATAAGAACAAATAGAAGATTTATAATTGTGTTTCAAATATTATTATAAAATTCACTAAAACTGTTAATTCAGATTATATTGTAAAATCAATTATTAATTTCAGAACACTGAGGAAATAATTTTTTTTTTCGAATTTCGTAATGTTACTTGCGTTTCCTCATATTGTCCATTTCGTTGCCTATTTTTAAAATAAACTTTTTGAAATGTTCGGATTTAGGTTTTAATTCTTGTGAACATAATTGCATCGTTCTATTTTGGGTAAGTTGAGTTTTCTGTAAGTAAGCAGAACTCTTTAAAACTTTAGATATCGAAATTTCAATAAAAAATAATCCTTTCAAAATCCGTTATAAAATTAAGGCTACAATCGTACAATGCGTATCTATGGTAATTAAATACGCATCGTCATTGTATTTAAAGAGCTTAAAAATAACATTTATTCAAACATTTTCCCAAATTTAAAATGGAAAACATCATTAATTTGTTTTATAAGACCATGAATAATTTTTCGTAATAAAAATTATTATTCAATTAAATCTGGACTTTTATTTACTAATTTTGGATTTCGTTTCAAATAAAAAATATATTACTGTATTTTTAAGTCATCAATTAATGATTTTTTTTATGTTCAGGAAGCAACAGAACGTGATTAATAAAATTTTATTCTCTCAACAAATTTTTCTGCTTTTTCTTTTTTGCGTAATTTATCTTTTAGCTTCGGGTTCAAATCTTTTTTCTGTATTTCTTTTTTACTTTCTAAGTTATGAAATCCAGTCTTTACTATCACGGTCAAAGTTACGCTACGAAGTGTGATAACTCGATCAAGGCCTTGGGCTACGGTTCGAAATGAATTAAGTCAAGAAAAGAAAAAAAGTCGTCTGGTTTTTTTTGAAAAAAAATGAGAACTTTCACTTTCATTCATGAAGCAAACGGGGGAGAATTGTCGATTCTAGACACGTTCTAACTCATCAAGTGTCTCACTCGTAGGCGAAAGTAAGACATACCGGTGTGACCTATAACCGTTACACCCCGTTCTTAAACCGGGATTTAAATTTAGAACTTATACGGCGTGACTCGATAAATTTCTTAGGCGATTCCCATTGAGATGGAAATCGTCTGCTTTTGTTTATCGTTCTAAACAATGTTTATTGAGGTTAATTTCACGCTTCTTTTGACCTCTTGAATTGACCTCATGTGATTTATGCATTCTCTATGCCTTTAGGTTAATGGGTATTAGAAGATATGAGATGGATTCGATAATTTTAGCATCCAAAAAGGATATGCTTTGTTGTCTGCAATGCAAAATCTGTGGTGTGATTGAATACTTCATGACCAACTCTATCATAAACAGGAAGTTAAATATGTGGTATACAGGAAATTTATTTTTGTATGTTTAGATTTTAACAATATTGAGTTTTAAGCACGTGTTTCATCGTTTTATGCGCACCTTTAGCCTATGAAGGCTACTTTTAGAATCCGATTTAAACTAATTATAATTCGCATCGATTAATCGCTATTAACATCTTATTTAAAAAAAAATCGTTTGCTTTTTTTCTATCGTTTTCAATTAGATTTAAACAATGTTTATAGGGGTTAATTTCACATTTCTTTTGACCTTTTTATTTAACCTCATGTGATTTACGTATTCTTTATGCCTTTAGATAAATGGCGATTGGGTCAAAATGCAGACGATTCGGCTATTTTGGCACTCAATATAGAATAAGCTTTGTTACCTGCAAAGTGAAATGTGAGGTGATCAAATACTTCATGGCTGAATATTTGATATTAGCAGGAAGTTTAATTTTTAAAATACAGGAAAAATATTTTGATACATTTAAATTTTAACCTCATTTAGTTTACGCGCGTGTGTGATAGTATTATACATGCCTCTAGCATACGGAGACTGCTTTTAGAATTCGATTTTAATTAAGAATCAAATGCTATTGAGTTTTATTAACCTTTCCTAATTTGATTAAATTAGGCATTTAAAAATGAATTTCATGACAAACTTTATTAAGTTAAACCTTTGCTAAAGATTTCAGAACGAGATGACTTTTAAATAATAAGTTTAAATTTATGTTAATGTGTTTATATTTTAACAATATTCAGTTTGTTCTCGTGCCTTTAAATTTCTATGACGTAACAAATTTTTAAACGGTATAGAAACCGCAACATTGTATGATAGATAATATAAATGACCGTTATAGTACGTACAGTCAAGATAACGTACCATGCTTGGTGATACATTAAAATCTTTTTAGAATTAATTTATTTGAAAATTAAAGAAAGATATTGAATTGAACAATATAATATTTGGTGGAAAATATTTTTTTCCAAGAATTTTATCAATTAACTTTAAATTTTAATATAATTGTAAATATCTACATTTAACATTGATTCTATGAATCTAAATTTTATACATATAATTATATAAATAGTTTAGGTAAATATTTTATTAAAAATAGTATTTAAATATAAAATAATCAAAACAGTTACGGTTAAAGTTGAATGACCATATTAAATATTTGTACAATAAAGTTATTTTAAATAAGTTTCTCTTTATTATATGAAAATATTTTAACTTAGAGTATGACTGAATTGGAAATAATTGTTTTTTTTGTTGTTAAGTGCCATTTTTTAATTGAAAATTGTATTTTTAAAAATAATTTGAAATTACAGAATATAAATAAAAGCGTTCAGAAAATTTTAAATTATTTAAATTACTTTTGATAGTTACTTACTCTAGGTAGGGCAACTGCAAGGCCTAAGGCAACAAGAGCTGAAAAAGACAAATGTATTATGTATTTTCAAATTAAAATTTTACAATAATTTTTTATTATTTCAATTTTTTTTCTTGTTCACCTTTCATATGCAGTTAATAACAAAATGAAAAATGATAAAGATGATAAAATTTTCAAAATTACAAAATAATCTAAAATGTTAATAATTTTCGCGTTTCTTTCCCTTTTTTGACTCCAAGCACTGAGGTCTTATTCTTGTACAACAATAAGTCACAGAATAGAACTATTAAACAAAATATTTGCGCGTTTATAATGCACTGAAGATAATTTAGTGTTTTCACTAACATTTTTATTTAAAAAAAGTCATCAATGAGTCATTTATATTTTAACTTAAGCTATTTCAAGCTTTTACTTAGACACTGATTAAAAAAATGGAGAAATTTTGCCACCACTTTTTATATTTTGGTGGCACAAAAAACTCAGCTTACTAACAAAAGTTCAAGAAAAACTCTACTTTTAGAAACTAGGGAATTTAAAATATAAACTTGAAAACTTGATAAAAGTAAACTTTCTTTAAAATTTAGAAGAATTTTTACGTTTACGATAAAAGGTTTTAGGAAAATAATGCTAAACAGATTTAAAACGTAAATAATAATGAACTTTTAGTACGTATAAAATAGGAACTTAATTCTTATGTTTTAATTCAGTTATGTTATATTCCATTAAAATAACTAATATCCCACTCCTACATAAAAATTTACCACATAATTTAGGAGTTTAGTTAGGTAGTATAATTAGATTTGACCCTTAAAAAATCAGTATTAAAAATCTGTAGATTCTAAATTTTTAAAAAAATTACAGTACTTAATAAAAGTAAAAATCAAAATGTCAAAAATTATCACATGAAAATTAATGCAAAAAATACAAAATGTGAAGAGGTCTTAAAATTTTTTCCCGAAATATATTGAATAAATTGAAGAAAAATATTTGAACCGTTGTTTTACATGTAAATAAATCCTTATGAACCCTTTAATGTTAAAGTTACAATGCAATAAAATAAACTAAAAAATTACCAAGGAAAATCTTCCGTTAAATGTTTTATTTGAAAATCGATGAATTCACAGATTTTAGAAAATGTAAAACAAGATTATCATAATCAAAAACTAAGTTAGATATTGAAAAAAAAAAGCTGACAGCTGTATTTTCTAAAATATTTGCTGAATGCAAATAGTATTAATAGTTACAATGATACAAATATATATTGATACAACTATATATTGATAGAAATATATAAATAATTAACTTTTGTTTTGGATATAGTAAAATATTACTTTTAATAAAAAAAATACTACATTATAATTGCAAATATGAAGAAAAAAAAAACAGATAACATTCTGAATTTTGAGGAAATTTAACGGAAAAAAATATCGAAGAAGAATTAATTTCAAAAAAGAAAATAATTCTTTTGAACTAGTTATGAAATTTTAGCATCACCTGCTAATAAGGTACTGTGGATATTAATAGATAGAGATTTAAATTGAAAATGACAATTTTAAAGCAATGTTAAGGTGATAAAGGTAAAAAAAATAAAATAATGAAGGAGCTAACTTCTATTAATGAATAAATTAAAATCCTTAGTTTAGTCATTTTTCTTATCTCTAAATTTCTAATTAAATTTTTAAAAAGAGACTGTTTAAATAAATAGATATATAATTGACGCAAAAATAATGATGTGAAGGAAAAGGTGATAAAACAACTAATTAATGAATAAGTGGATTTTTATTAATAAATAAACATTAACTGCGAGTAAATATTTTTTGAAAATTGCTTAATGATATTTAAATTAAACGAAAATGTAATTTCACCAAATTTTCATTCCGGAAATTTCAGTAAAAAATAAAATATATTATACTCACCGACTACTGCTAAAGATCTCATTGTGGTAGGAATTGAAATGTAGGAACTAGAAAGATCTGAAAAAAAAAACAATATTTGTTTATTGCTGAGAAACCAGGTTTTTTTTTAGTTTATTCAGTCCTATAAAAATAATAATACAACTGTTAAAATTAACCATGTATTAATGAAAAGTCTTATTAATTTATCACACAATTATATTATTTTATAAAAAATAGTGTAATATCGTAAATTTACACCTTTGACAATAATATATACGAGTTATTTACAAGACTACTTTCTTCTGCATAAAAAATAAATTTGAATTTTTTTTTATTTCATTGCACGGAACGATGCCAATTAAAGATTTTATTTTTATTCATATTTTGCTAATTTATCGTTCCGCATCGTCTATAGAAAATATCGTCTGCAGTAAATTTCATCATACGATGTTTTTATGCATTATGATTGGTAATTTTTAATAAAAATTAACTCTTTAAAATTTCTCATACTATAGAGAAACTGTTTTATTCTGACGCTAAAGCTAACATTTAAATTGCTACTCTCTGTCATGAGGATTTGTAAATTTAAAATTAGTTCATGTAATTGAAATATATCGTTTGTACCTACAATTATTTTAAATCATTACTGGACTGAAATAAAGAACGTTTCAATTTTATTGTTATTTATATTTCCATCGGAATAACGTATTTCTTTATATTAAAAAAATACCAAAATATTTTGTAAGACATAAAATGCAATTTTCTGGAAGTTAATTTCTGCAAATGTAGAATTTTGAAAATAGAATGAATAATTTTCTGAGAGTAGCGTCATTATAAATCTATCGTCATCATAGAACTTTTTAGAAAAACTCATTCTGTAAAAAGTTTTTTCCGCGCAGCAAAGAGGCGAAATTTATCGTTTTCAGTTAAATCAGTTGAAAGAAGTTTTCCTTCAAGAAGTCCTTTAAATCTTTAAGCATTAACATGGTCATAAAGTAACTTGATTTGTTTTTTAATTATTTTAGACTTGTATTATCTTTATTTACGTATCATGTTCGGTAGATTTAATTTTTTATACACTTTTTGTTCTTGAATAATTAACTTTCGTTATAAAATTCCAAGATAATTTTCAATCACTTCTCTTTTAATTTCAGCAAAACTAGTGGAATAAATTTTACATCACGAGCATAAACATTTATTAATTATAGATCTATATTTATTTTCAAACAATTGAATTTGACAGTTAAATCTGATTATAATCTGATAAGCCAGTTCCGATAATAAAAGCTTTAATTTCTATTTTTTCAAAATTGCTTATTTACTACTTTACCTTTTATTTAGAAAAAAAGTGTAAATTAGCGTTATAATCAATATTACAACCAAACATAAAACGAGCATATTTAAAAGCTTGTTTAAATGTATAAAATGAATATATTTCAAACAAATTTAAAAATAACGATAAAAAATAATTATTTGTGATATTTTACTTACTGTCAAAAAATTTATCTAAATTTAGGAAAATAAGTTTTTTTTATTGTTTGGTTCATTAATCGCATATAGAATTTAAAATTTTATTGAAAATTTCTATAACTCTATAAAGTTTCTGAAATAAATTAGCACATAAATAACGGTTTAAATACGTTGAAAACATTGAAATAATTACTCTTACTAATTCTTACTAACTATTAGGAATTAAATTTTATTTTGTAAATTATTTTTTACCAAAAAAAGCTTTTTTTTCACAATTATTAAGATTTTGTAAAATTTTTCACTTAAATTGAAATAGATGTTTTTGAATAATGAAAAACAACTATAAATTATTCACAATAAAATCTACACAATGCCCTAAAATTATGATCACAAGGACGAAATATTTACAACTGAACAACTTTAAAATGTTAATTAAACAGAATTGAATGAATTATTAACTACCAATTTTTAATTAAATTCCCGATTTAAATAAAATTCCCTATATATAATAATAGAGGCATAAAAATTTTTCAACGTTAACATCAAGAAGTAAATAATATTAAAAAAAACTAAGGTAATTATGCATGAAATCATTAATATAGAGCAATTTCTTTTTCAAAATATTTCTCACTACCATGATATAAATGTAAAGTTACTAAAAAATATATAATATTCCAAATTAATAACTGCATTTGATGATTTTTATAAAATATCGTTTCCAGAATTAAATTTAAGCAACTCATTTGTATTCTTGTAGTAATCGGTAAAATTTTCCTTTAACTCAGGGAATTTAGAATTTCAATTTTAGCAAATTTATTTTAAATTTTGATCAATTTCATAAAAATTTAAATCAAATTCAAAGTAAAATTAAAAAGTAGAGTTTGTAAGTTAAATTTTAATGAAATATAGTTTTCAACAGAAAGAATAATAAATTTTTTATATCAGATTTAAAAAATTTACAATGTACAAATTAATATCTCAAAAGATACAAGCATTTAGAAATCATTAAAATTTTTAGTTGGAAGAAATTCTGGTTCAGTCATATTTCAGAGAAAAACTGACGTTAGTAACACGGCTATAAAAAGACCTCTTCAAATTGTATTAAAAGAAGAATTTTATTTCAATAAAGAAACAATTGCTTTTAATAAATTCCTAACATTTACAAATTTTATTATTTAGAAAGAATAGTGATCGTTTGCAACTTAATCAAATCATTAGCAAAAAACTAAAAGTTTTATCGTCTGCCTTATTGAAATAATGACGATAAGAAGACAACTTTCGAACATCTCCTTAAATTTTACTGGCAAAAGAGCACTTTTCAATACAAAAAAAATAATAATAATTGCATTTAATAAATTACTAACCCTATACAAAAACTGAAAGTGTTATCGTCTGCCTTATTGAAATAATGACGATAACAAGACAACTTTAGAATATCTCATTAAATTTTACTGGCAAACGAACATTTTGCAATATAAAAAATGAAACAATTGCATTTAATAAATTACTAAACCTATACAAAAACTGCAACTGTTATCGTCTGCCTTATTGAAATATTGATGATAACAAGATAACTTTAGTATATCTCTTTAAATTTTACTGGCAAAAGAACATTTTTTAATACAAAAAAAGAAATAATTGCAAATACTAAATTACTAACCCTATACAAAAACTGAAACTGTTATCGTCTGCCTTATTGGAATAATGACGATAACAACGCAACTTCAGACGATATCTTTAAATTTTACTGACGAAAGAACATTTTTCAATCCAAAAAATGAAACAATTGCATTTGATAAATTCCTAACACTATACAAATTCGTTATTAAGAAAGAACAGACAATGTAACGATTGTTAACTGTTTAGATTAAATCGCAAACCGATTCACTATAGTTCCTCAAACGACAATTTTTGCAATAAAAAAAAATATTGCGAAAAAGCACCCCATGCCCCCATAACCAACCATCCATATACATTCTCACGGAATTATTAAAAGCGAAATTCGGTGCCGCAATACGTAGAAATAATCCATTGCTAAAGAGTGCGAGCTTCACAATACATATTCCACAATCTTACCTCAATAGAACTTAAAGGGGTGGTATATCCCTATGGAGGAGAAGGATTGCTTTCTTGGAGAAAGGAAAAGATGGGATGAAGATGATGCTAGAATACTTTCACTTGCATCTTATATACTCACTTTCATCCGGAGCATGCGCAGTAGGTCGTAGGGTCAGTCTTGTCCATCGGGTTGATGCGTATGAACAAGATCTTCGCAAGTATGTCATGAGGAAACCTTTTCTTTTTTACCTCTTTTGTTTGTTTGAGTTATTCTTTTTTTATTTAATTTTTTTATTTTATTTTTTGGTTGGAAGAGAATCCCCCAGAATCTTTTGGAGGGAAAAGAGTATCTCGATGATGAGAAAGTGACCAGACTGGTTCTCATTCATCGGACCTACTTCTCCTGCCCCGTGACACCGCGGTTGACCCCCCGAGAGTAGCAAAAACCACCGAAAATCGTCTGTAATAATTCTGCATCGGTATGAAAAAAAGAATTATCTTGATTATTCCATCTTTTAGCGTTTTTGTTTTTTGGGCTTACCCTTTTTAACGTTGTAGCCTCATTTGTCATTTGTTGGGAGGGGTTGATGTTTTAACCGTTATTTCGGAATGCTTTTGCGGATGGGATTAATTTTTAAATTCTTATCGTTTGTTTGTGGTTAATCGAAAGCGTTTCGATTTTTTTTGGGGTGAATGGAAAGGACATCAATCACATTTGGAATTAATTTATAAAAATATCTGTGCTACTTTTCATACTAAATTAAGTGGAATGGCTTTTAAAAATGTTTAAGGAGTATTGCGTCATAGTTGATAGTCCGGAAGGGGGTAGGGGCACGTGACCCCCTCTTTCGAATAATTTTCAAAAACTTGAAGAGTTTTTCAATTTTGTCTCCTTTCTTTTGAATCCCCAAAAAGGTATTTTTTATTTATTAAAAATTTTAAATTGCTGTTAAATAATTGTATAAAATAATTTCACGATTATCTATTTCCTATAAAGGATATTTAAGTTATTTAATGATATTTTAAAACAAATTTTCTGCAATACGAACTCAACAATTTTAGTGGAACAAAATTTAAGTAATTTTGCTTGTTTACACTTGAACACTAAGAAAACAAGCATAGTCAAAACTACCAAAATATGGTAAAATTTACCGTGTTTCTGGTTCTATGGGAATCCCAGATAGCTCGGTCGTTTTTACCGAAGTGCTTTGGTAATGAATTTTGTAAAATTAACAATAAAATATGGTTTAACAATTTGTGATAAACTTTGGTAAACGTGGTAAAACTTGGTATAACTTTAGCCTTTTTTGAAAAGCAGAATTTCAGATAAACCGTTACCACATAAATGGAAAAATTACCAAATGAATCGTTTAATACCGTATATTTTGGTTTTTATTACCAAAATTATGTTGCTGTTTTTAACCCGAAATGTCATTACTATAGAGTGCGGTAATTTAACCAGAATTTTTTTCTCCGGGTAGTTTGCAGCTGTTTAAGGAAGTTTGTAAAACAATATGTTTCATATTTATAATAATGCTTTTTAGCATAGTGTAATAATTCTCACTGATTATCTCCAAAAGTGTAATATGGTATTAAATTGTTTTCGTTTTTAGTGTTGAAATGGTACACATAATATACATGTTTTGTTTTCAAAATTTATTTTATGATTTATCTGAAAAGTACGTTTCAAAGAAAAATTTGTCTGGTTAGAGATATTTATTAAACTATTCATTTTTAAATAGATATAGCTATAAATTTCATTTGAAACCGTGTAACTTTTTGTAAAATTATAATTAATTTTAAATGTTGCATAAAGTTAGCTACAAATGATTACGTATAGTTTTTGTATTCATGATTTCTTAACTGTACTAGTTGTAAGCAATTTCAAAAACGTAAAGGTAAAATCTTTACCGTAAACCTTACGGTTAACCAGATGGACAGACTGTTGCCGGTTATTTTACTGTATTTTCAAAATGAAAATTGTAACAGTGTTGGAACTACTTTCGAGTTATAATCCTACTTTTAGAAGAGGAACTTTACTGAAAAACTTATTTTATTTCAAGAATTTCTTATAAATTTTTTAAAGAAACCAGTTGTAAAGTCTATGGTTTTCTACTATCAGCAATAAATCCAAATAAACCATCGACTTTTCATCTGCTTTCTTTTAAAATCTTAATAAGAAAACCTTGCACCACATTTCAAGATAAATTTTATACAAAATGAACATAATACCTAAAAAATGAGCTATATGAACTCGATTTTTATAAGTCGCATAAAATATTTTATCTATCACTTTGCTTGTGGAAATCCATAAAAAAGATGTTGTGTTTTAAAACGTTTTAAACTATTTTATTTCATACTTTTTCGCCTTAGGATTCATTAAGTCTTTGAAAAAATAATTACACCTTATGTTTTCCCCAGAAACACGTTTTGAAAGTATAACTATCAACAAAACGAGCATGTGGTTTCAGATAACTTTGGAAATGCTAATTAGATGACGTAATAGTGATTTGAAGATCCACATGCCATTCACGTAGATGACGAATTCGTAAAAATAATTAAACATCGAAGAAAGCGCGATAAAATCTTAAACTGGATTGTTTGTAATTTTATTTATAATAATGGCTAATGTTAAACTAACGCGAAAAAGATCATTTTTCAAACATTTCTTTCGAACTGAATATTTAAAATTTTTATTCGATTTTTAGGATAACAGGGGATAAAATTGTTACTCGCAGACGATGTCCAAATTTCAGAATCCTAGCGGGCTTTGGAGTCATAAGAGATTCAAAATAGCCCTGACCAGGGCAAGGGTAGATAAAGTACTAACTAAACATGAAAGAAAAATGAAAAAAAAAATCAAATCGTCTGCTATGAGACAGTTATAGAAGGAAACAAAAATTTAAATATTTAATTTCGAAGAAATAAATATTGACTAAATTTGAGTGACATATCAAACTGAGATGAAATTTTCCGTTGTTTTCAAATCTATAAATATTTTTTTCTATAATGGATTAAAAAAAGTAGAATAATGCAAATAGAACAATGCTGGCAAATGTAAAAAGAAATAAATCAGAATTATGAAGGGTTAAAAAAAATGTCCAAACCTAAATTGAAACCAATAAGTAAGTCAAACTGTTTTTTTTTTACCAGTGCAGATTGTTAAAGTTTTTTCATAATTTAAGGGACGTTCATGCTCTTTCTGCATGCTAAATTCTGCATAATTAATATCAATCTTATCAATAGAATCTGTATTTACTTGCTGTCTTCTCTTTAAACTGGATTATAAAAATTTTAATTCTAACTATTTTATGGTGCTGGACCATAAAATATCCCCTCTTTTAATTAGATTATATATTTTTTAATTTTGAAGTATTTTATGGTGGCAGAACATAAAATAGTTTCCAATAAAATTGGATACCTGCAAGTGACGTCATCGTAGGTAAGTCGTAGCATTTGACGAATCGCAAGCCAATCTTGCTCGACACACGCGATCCATCGCTTACAGGTGTTCAATTCAATTTGATTTATATCACATGGGTAGGCATAATCACTTCACTTATTTTCGAATTGCAAGTGCATAGTTATATCATGGTATAAACAATGCCTAAGTTTTTCCGCGAGTATAGTTTGGGCACCATATTTTAATAATCGATACTCTGAGTGGCAAAATCTTCCATGTCAAAAAGAACTGTTAATTTACTTTTTAATACTAAAGAAAATTAAAAAATCCTCGTGCATCTGTCTGGATTTAATTGAAGGGATGAAAACTAAATTCCGACTAGCTAGAATGCTCGAATTTTAATATAGCAATATGAAAATTTCAATTGTTTCTTGATCTCCATAAATAGAATTTATCTCCATTATTATTGACTTAAAGAATTTATTGTCAGTCAAAACTTTGATCAATCTCAATCACGTTATACTCATAGTAAAGAGATAAGGTGTTTCAAAGTTCACTCTCCACACTTCTCCCCTCTTCATTACTATAGTGACGAAAAATCTTGCTTTTCCACCATCGTAGTTTGTTCAAGCCCTTTATTAAAGCGTAACGCCATGGGGAAAAAAAAAGCAAAATTGGCTGAAGCCATGGTAACGGAGTAAAGAAAATGGGAAGAGTGGGGAAATTATGTAACCTTGAGATCGATTTTATTTATAAAGATTCTATTTATAGAATTTTTAAAAATATTCTGGACCAATAAGTTGGAATAAATGCTCAAATAACAACTGGAGTTCACCCTCTGATGTGAAACGAGTAACAATTGTATACTAAATGGTGCATTTGCAGATAGTCATAATTTTTTCACCACCAAATGAAGAGTTCAACCACTTTCCGACATAAAGACATCAAACTATAAAAAAAACTACGTTTTCCTAGTAGACTAATAATGCAATAATAATTTCATTTTATTTTTCTAATTTAAAATAGGGTGATTAACTTCTAAGACAAACTTCTATAACCACCCAAAGTCGTGGTGGCTCAGGGGATAGAGTGTTCACCTTCCAATGATGAGAACCGGGTTCGAAAACCAGCGATGGCTGGTTGATTCAAATTTCGCACCCGGCTCGCCCAGACATGCAGACAAAAAGTGTCCTCTGGGGTAGACGGTTAGAGTCCATTTGCCGTCAGGATAACCATGGAATGTTTTCGTGGTTTTCCTCACCATGCAATGCAAATGCTGGTTAGTTCCATCAAAAAGTCCTCCACGAAGGCAAATTTTTCTCGATACTTGATTTAGGAGTTTTGATTGGGTTCAAAATAACAAGGCTACGGATTTGAACATTAGTAATCGCGAACCCAAAATTGGTTCGGCTGTTCAACGACGGTTATAAAATAAAATAAAATATAACCACCTAAACTTTCCTCATCCTTCAGAAATGATCCGTCATACGTTTTTAGAAACAAAACTGACTTTTTTTTCCAATTAATTTCCTCGAAAAGCGAAGTTGTCAAGCTTTATTTATTTTGGTACAGTATTCAACCTGTACTTTTAGAACTGCATTTTGAAACATACAAACACTTAAAGCCTCGAAAAAATTGGCTTTTTTGAAAATTTTGCTTTTCTGTATCTCATCATAGGGTAAACCAACCAGTGAAGGAACATTTCATATATATTGATTAAAAAT